TTTATGATCATACCACTGTGAGACGTAAAGGGCAGTACTCCACCTGCTCTTTTACTGCCTAGAATTTGCCCATGGTCACTTTTCTTTGCCATATTCAGTCTACTTTTCCTTTGCTCCATCTAAAGAAATAGCTGACCCTCGAGCTCCCCCTCATCTGTCACTTAACAGGAAAACCATGCATAAACAACACCCTCTAAGTCTTCCCCTCGTGTCGGTGAACAATCACAGCAACCATATTTCAACCTCCTGGGCCTTGCAAGTGGATGGTGTTTTTACTAAAAAGGCTTGCTGGCTGTGGCACTGCCTAAGCTCCTGGTGCATCTTGCAGAAGAGAATGGCATTCCTCATCATATGCATAAAAAAGAGAGAAAAAACTTTCAAACTGAGAGGTGTGTAGATAAGTATTGATTCCAAGGGAGTTTGTTAGCCTATTTTTTATTTTTTGAGAGGCCAATATTAAATTGGAGAACCTGATGGGGAACCATCCTGGACATAAGTCTATATCTTTTCCTTTATGACAAAACTTGAAAAAGCATACAAGAAATTTGCTCCGCATTCCAAAATAAAAGGTAGTGTTATCCCTGCAAAGCTTGACCATACTAATGTCATTCAAGTTTAATAAGGGATCTATTAAAGATTCTGACTTGAATAGACTGTTCTATTGTACCGACTGTTGTACTGCGTATTACTAGAAAGACTTCCATGTACTTAATCTTTTATACAAATGATGGATTAAAGTTACATCCATATAAGTGTAATTCAGATTGAAAGTGTTGCATTAGGTGCTGGGAATAAAATTAACCTATTATACAAATTATTCAATAAGCCTAAAATCCAGTAAAGATATAGTCCATGAGGATGAAAAATTAGTAAGGTATATTTTCTGTACCAAAAATATTTCTAGTGACAAAAAAAACCCTAAAATTGTTGAAAAAGTATTTTATTTTGTGGCTATCTGACATACAAATAAACTGACATTTAACTGTTTTAAAAATCATCCTTTAGCTTGTGTTTATGCCTTCCATTAATTTTTAATGTTTTGAATGTTTTAATTAGAGTACAGAGTCCTTGTGTCACAGGTGTAAAACAGTTTTACCTTCTCCAGTGGTCTATTACCCGGAAATGGGAATCATTAACTTGAACAACTTCACATTCTTTGTAGAGGACATGAAGTAATTTAATCATGAATCTTGACGATTGAGAGGAAGTGAGTGTATTTAGTCAGACAGTCTCTATTTTGTAACTCTTAAGGGAATAGAGATTATCTAGGATTTAACTTTAAAAGTGCAGTTAAATATTAGCTGCCAGGATTCTTATTGCTCTGGTTAATTCCAGCTATGGAACCTATCTAGGATATTCTCTGGGGAAAGCAGGCCTTGAGTGACAGCTTAGCAAAAATAAATTCCAAGTTCACTTTACCTCCTATTTTTTCTGAGCTATATTCTTCAGTGTTCTCCACCAGAGAAAGTGAACATTCTTATAGAGTTGTAAAGATAGCTTGTTTTCCTTATAAAAACTTCAAGGAATTTTTATCAGCTTCAGGGGACAAGAACTGTGTTTGAGTCTGGTAGGTAAATCCTTCTCTGTAGAGTCAGGGAGTTCAGTCAATGAGAAACACTCAGACAGACATAAAATTTCTTAGTAGAATAGGTCATGGGGAGGGAATACTTCTCATGCAAATTGTCTGTAGGTTTTATTATTGGTACTATTTTGATTTTGTTTATTTTTTTTTAATTCAGCCATTCATATCCCCAGACCTGAGATTAATATACCCCAGAAACCACCATTTTTTAAGATACCTGTTTCCACTAAATTCCTTCCACCTGTAAGGTCCTCCAAGCACTTGATGCCTTTGCTGTTTATCCTTCCGGATAATTCTCCCTTTGCCTTTTCTCTGAGGGTCTTTTCTGCTGAAAACAATTCAGTGCAACTTTTGATACTAGAAAGGGAAAACACCTTTTCAGCCTACACCTCACATGCAATATGCTTAATACTGAAGCCACCACATCCGCTTGGAGTGTTGTGTTCAAAACTTAGAATGCAGGTAAAAAGAAAAGTGAAGTCTTTTCTTAAGGGAGAGAATTCTACCATTACCAAGTTTGGTGTTAATAAAAATGAAATAGATGAGGAAAAGATTATAGTTCTAAAGATAAAATAATCAGTGATGGAAAAGAAAGTAAAGTATAGTTTAAAAAAGTAGTATGATCCATCACCAAAACAAGAACATTAGTAAGGAACTTGCTTATTATATAGTTTAAATGCTTTCTGTTTACTACCAGCACTATGTAATTTTTAAGTATTATGGTTTCTATTGAAAGAATATTTCTGAAATCTAACTGTTCCTCCAGTTCATCCTCAATCATGTTTTTTAATTGAATGTACAGATGTTAGTCACCTCAGAAGTTCTCTGAGAGACTTATATGAGAATTCTCAAATACCCCTCCGATTCAGTCACCATCATCCTTTTGCTACTGCTTTACCCTCCCTTTCCCAGACATCACCTCTAAATACTTCATTACAAATTTATGATTACATAAGAGCCAATAGTTTTTTAAAATATATGTAAACAGCGATGGGAAAACTTTTACGGGGATGCCACAAAGAGTTGGTTATCTTATAAATTCCTGCTGACTATACTTATCGATATTGTTAGGCACAGTGAGAACTCCAGAAGCATTATTCCAGAAATGCTTTCTAATCTGGCCACCTCATCTGAATGCTTTCCACTTGCCTGGAGTTCCTACAGCTCAAGGACAGTGCAAGTGACCTCTCTGAGCCACACACCAACCCCTGCAATTCTGAGAGTTGGCATGCTTTAATCAATCAACTATTTAGTAAGTGGGCAAAGTGTTTTGAATAGACATAAGAATTAGGCAGTAAAGTAGTACAGACTGAACAGAAAACGCTTGGGAGAGAAACATGTCCAAGGGTGAGTTTGTAGCTCCCATTGAAAGGAAAGAAGGGTCCAAAATAGCCCATTCATTTGCAAATATTTTACAATTAAATACTGTAGAAGATACTGATGGACTGTACAGTCATTGATTTAAAATCTGTGATTTATAATTACAAGTTTCAGGTGGTTACTAAAGATTATTTTTCTCTTTCAATTATACAAAAAAAATACTGACCATTTTCACTTAAAACCTTAACCCAACAGTGTTTAAAACTATGATGCAATTCATCCTCACCCAACAGCTGGTATCATTAATTAGCCTTCACAAAAAGTCCATTCTTCCCACGCATTCTCCTTTAATCTTTCGAGAATGCAAGAATGCTGAAATTTTCCCTTTTATACTTTTATTGTTTACTCAATTTTTACTTCAGTTCTCTCCTTTTCTAGGTCATGCAAATTGATGTTTTGTGATTAGCATTTCATCTTTCTCAGAGGCCTAATGTACTTGCTAAATTCTCAACTTGTTAGCCAAGCTCAGGTGCCTGTTATATTGGGCACACCTTTGAAATGGGATTTTCTCTCTTCATAACTTACCTGAAAATGTTCCTCTTTATGTGTCCAAACAAAGGAGAAAGCTGTATTAAGTAAAGAGAGAATTAATGGCACTAAGTCAAATAACTCAGCTGGAAAGGATTTTTTTTCCTTTTTTGAAATTTACTCTTTTTTTGTAAAAATGCTGTATATAAAAACTTTACGAGAGAGATCAGAATAACTAGCCTAAACTGTCCCCATAGGTCCAACATTTAGCTAAATAAATAAGAATGCAAGTTTATTTCCTGCTCAGAAGTGGGCTGCAAATTTGCTAAGTGATTGATTAGATGGTGACTTTCTGCATGGACCTTTCAGTTACTCCAAGGCCTGTCTTATGAGAGGAAAATAAACTCAGCCAAGCTGACTGAGCTCTATTTTAGGTCGTAACTTTGAATTTGGAAGGTTTAGAAACCTTTTCCTAGCAGGACTCTCTCTTCAAGGAATCCTCACTTAGGATGTCTCAAACAATGCAACCTGCTCTGAAAAGACTGCGGAAGTGCTCTCTGTGGACAGAATTGAAATCCACATATTCATGGCATTTTGCTCACTCCAACATGCTGTCCTTTACATCAGCGCTCAATATTGGAGAAGATCCACACTAGGCCCGTCAGCTATGTTTCTGCCCCAGCCCTAGATGGCATTATCATGTTTTGATTCTACAAGCATCACCTTCTTTGTCTTAATATGTCATGAATTGAGGAGGGGGGTGAGATTTTGCATTTTAATATGTGATTCACAGAATGATTGGAAAAAATGAAAGGAGAATTGTGACACAAAAATGTGTTCCTAAATGACAATATGGTACAAAGAGTTCTTGACTGAAGACCATAAGTCTTATATTTTTTCCAGACTTGTTGAGATATAATTAACATATCATATTGTGTAAGTTAAAGGCATATAATGTGATGATTTGATACACATACATATAATGAGCACCATTATAGCATTAGCTAACACCTCCAATCAGATTGCATAATTACCATTTCTTTTTTGTGGTGAGAATATTTAAGATCTATTCTCTCGGCATCTTTTAAATATATAATAATCTTTTTACCTGTAATCACTCTGCTGTACATTAGACCCTTAGAACTTTATGCATCTTATGTCTGGAAGTTTGCCCTCTTTGACCCAAATCTCCCTATTTACCCCAACCCTGAGTCCCAGGTACCTGTCATCTTACTCTCAGTTTTTGTGAGTTCAGCTTTCTCAGATTCCACATATAAGTGATATCATACAGTGTTTGTCTTTCTCTGTCTGACTTATTTAACTTACTATAATGCCATCAGGAACGTACGTCTTGAGTCAGAAATTGTCTCTCCACAACCTCTGGGCAAATCACTTCAGTTCACTTCACCTCTCTTGACCCATCAGGGACTAGGAGCTTCAACTCCTTCCATTTTCTAGAAACAAAGGCAACTTTGTTTTGAGAGCTTCCTAGCTCTAATTTTTTTGAAATTGTGCTACTGTGTTGGAATCTCTAGTTATAGACTAATGTTTTTCAACATTTTTCATCCAGGACCCCAAATTACGTGAGCTGTTGGATGTGGGGAACATCGGGCGCCTGGAGCATCGCATGATAACGGTGGTGTATGGGCCTGATTTGGTTAACATCTCCCATTTGAATCTCGTGGCTTTCCAAGAAGAAGTGCCCAAGGTATGGTGGATTGAAGATGCTTGCCACTTCTATCTGAATCCTTATGATATTGTACTGACGCTTGTGAAAGACTGAGTTTTTTTTAATGTGTTAAAACTCCATCTAAAAATAATTCAGCTGCCATGGAAAAGTATAATTCAAACACTTTCAAATAATGGCATCTACTAAGAATTATGAAGATGTTTTCATTAGACTAAAGCATTTGATATAATTTCTTTGCAAAAGAAAATATAGATAAAACCACATTTCATTTCACTTTAATGTCTCATCCCAACTCGTTCTGCCTTAGCCTCGCCCATGCCCCTCTCCACTTCCATCTCCTTTCTGACTTTAGCCTGGAAGACAGACATCTTCCATACTTTTTTAACTCTATATGCTGCAGAGCACTTAGCCCACTACTGTGCACATAGTAGCTGCTTGATTAGTATGAGAAAGAAAAATATGAATTTTTATATTAAAAATTTAAATAATAACAACAAATACTATTTATCCAGCTACGGACTAGAAAGATGAATTAGACATGGCCTTTCCATTAAGTAGTTGCTGGTCTACCACGGTGGTGGGCCTTTTAGATGAATACAGAAATAACTAGGATACGGATAGGACATACCAAACAAGAAGCTGTGAATGTCTGGGAATCCTGGACTCAACTTTGATGCTCTCTCTAGAAATGTCCAGTTGCCATAGAAAGAGCACTGGAATGAACACATTGGACAAAGAGCTTTCTTTATGCATGTTTATACTTTATAAGATACTAATGATGATCCTCAACCTTCCTCTGGTTTCCTTCAAGAGTTAAGAATATGCACCGCAAAATACTGTGACATCTGTATATCATACCTGTGCCCTTCCAAAGCATCTCATACAGGGATCACAACTATGTGCTTAAGTTGAGCCAGGACATTATGATCTTTAAATTTTAAATCCTCAGTGCCCTGACAGTTTTCTGAGCTTCACCAGATGTACTGACCAGACCTCTAATCCTTTAGTGATTATGGTAGAGATTTATTCCCAACATTTACATAACATCTACTTCAGTTCTTACAGGGAATGAATAAAATGCCAACCGGTTTTAACACTTTAAAGGATTTAGAAACTACTTTAGAAACTACTCCCCAAGACTGTGTCACAAACCTAATCTATTTTCTTTCTTTAAGAACTAAGTTACCCATTACTTCTGTAATACAACGCTGGGAGAGATTTCACCTGAATGAAGCATTGTCTGCACAGCAGCAATGTACTCACCTAGCAATAGTTCTTATTCTGGTATCTGTTGGTAATATGTTGAATTATATATTCATCCCTTCCCAGAATGTGGATGGATGGTTGAATGGATGGATCAATGTAGATAAACACACTAAATATTTACAAAATATTTTTTAAATGTCTTCCCCCAAATGCAGCCATATTCAGCCTAAAATATAAGCAATTCATGAGATTCATTAACTCTCAATTAAAAGCATGCAATAAATGACAGTGACTTTCAAGAAAGCTTTTACATTCTGCCTATCTTATATGCATTAAACCTTTTTGCAATTATGTTTAAAACATATTCAATTTCCTCCTCTCTGGGGCTCCTACCCACTCATTTTCTTTAAGGATTTTGATTTCTGAGCCCTATTATTCTCCATCAGGACTGCATCTATAGACATTTTCCAGCAGTTACTTGTTGCTCCTGGTATAATTAATGAAGCTACAGCATATGTTTACATTCCCTGGCTGTGATATTCTGTAGGGTATTTTTTCCCTCCACTGAAATTGCTCAGGCAGACGGTTAAGATTTGTAAACACCATTTTATTCTGAAAATTTACATTGCATCCCTCTAATTATCAGTATTGTCTCATAACATCATACCTCCTATTTAATCTCCAGGGCCAGTGTACATGATTCCTTCTGTAGTGCCAACACCAAAGAAAACATTCTCTCATTATGTAGAATGCCTGAGCCTCTTTGAAAGTCAAAAGTTTCCAAGAAGAAATTATTTACAAAGGGATTCTGGTTTGTTCACTCATTCAGCACACATTTGTCAAACACCTTGTCTGTGTCAGCTGCAATTCCAGTGTTAGGGACCCAGCATTCCAGACAGCTGAGAGCCAGCATTGTAGGGGAAATAAACAGATAGATCACAATTATTATGTAAATGTACTATATTGAGATGAAGACTTGTGGGGAAGAATAAAGCAGGAAGAGGGAATGAAGGGACAAGTGGGTTATTTAGTTATGGGGTGCTCAGAGAAAGAAAAAGTCTGAAGGAATTTGCTTAATTGCAACAATATCATAGATTTCTGAGAAACCTCATTGATCAACTAAAAAATTTTAATCACAACCAGGACTTAAACTTTCTTAAATGTATTTTTCCAGATTTGAATGTTTTCTTTCTTACATATAACATTGAAATTGAAGTTTTTATTATTTTTGAAGACCATTGACTCCTTTTAAGATAGATTGGGAAGAAAACTGTGTCTTTCATTTTTCCTCTCTGAAGTTGGACTTAAAACATGGTATCTCTTGCAATTCAACAACTGTCATACTTTGTGTTACACAACATGATTTCCCAACCCTGTACCCTACAGATCAGCTTCCCCTGCTCCCTCAAAGGCCCCCTCCCTGTAATGTACCTGCGAAATAGGTGTTCGGTGTTACACTGACCCTCTGAGTCTCATACTTCTCCCAGCCTCTCCTGCTCCCTGGGGGACCATGGGCACATCCACATCTACTTCCCTTGGGACTCCTGGACTTCAGTCCTCATCCCAGGATGCCCTGACCTCTCCCGGGAGCCACAGGGCAGTTGTGGAAGTGGACATCACCATCCTTCCCTTTCCTCTCCCACTGTTAGTTCCCAGCAGCCCTCCACTCCAGGCTACATGACTCAGGCAAAGCTGGAGGTGCCCTCAAAGCAAAGGCAACAGAGTTGATTTCTTATATTGTGGTGCAAGTTTTTGAAGGACTTTGGTTTTTATTGTAAGGGAGATGGAAGCCAGTGGAGGGTTTTGAGCAGAGGGTGGACATGGTCTGACTTAACACAGGAGTAGAAACAATCATGGAAGCAGGAAGACTACTTAGGAAACTGGAAACATTTTCAGTGAGCTGCTAGGGACATGGACCGTGGTAGAGGTGTATAAGAGATGAGAAGGGGTCTAAACATATACATACACATACATATGCATATTAAGATGTGATGGAATAGAAGAGCAAGGATCCCCTGGGGTTAAGACTGAGATGCTTGATGGCAGAGTCATGCCAGGGAAACCTTGTGTTCACTTCTCTGCACAAGGATTGACAGATGCTTCGATCCTTCTTTATACACTGAATTCTCCTAAGCATTTTTAAATATGAAAAACTAAATAAACAAATCCATTTTTCTTGTTTAATCATGCTACTAGCAGGAACTCAGCCAGATTTTTTTTAAACTTTTGATTGACATACAATATACACAGAAAAGTACATAGATTATAACTGTATAACTCAATGGATTTTTTGACAAGAGAACACACCCATTTAAAAAAAGAGAACACACCCATGTAAATAGCACCCAGATCAGGAAACAGACCACCACCAACATCTAGGTGTCTGTCCTTCTAACACACTCCTATTTGACCTCCGATTTTATAGATTAGTTTTACCTGTTCTTAAAATTTCTGTAAATGGAATCATACAATCTGCTTTCCTTTTTGGTCTGACTTCTATTACTCAACCTTATATTTATGAGATTCTGATGTATTTTGCATGTAGTTATGGTTTGATCATTCTCTTTACCAAAAAGAATGCCGTAACTTGTTTATCTGTTCTATAGTTGATGGACACTCAGGCAGTTTCCAGTTTAAGGCTAGTACAAATAGTGTTGCTACAAACATATGACTTTTTGTGAGGTATATAATGGCTGATCATAGATCTTCGTATGTTCAGCTTGGATAGATATGGCCAATTTCCCAAACTGATTGAGCCAGTTGGTTTTTAATGTTAATTCACACATGCAAAAAAATGTCTGATAGAGGATCTCTGTATGCTGTTACATTTTGAAGTCAATGAAGAATAAATGAGCTCTCCAGAAATATGTTCTATAAACAGCACATCAACCTTGATTGGCTGTTATTTTAGATTTTTTTAGGGAACCACTACCACATCAGCAACTATAAGGGTCATAGAGAATCCAGTTCACTCATTTTGAAGATGTGATCAAAGATTTCCTGGAAATTGTCCTTACTTTATCCATACCAGAGGCTTGCCCACCATCCAGGTGACTTGCAAGCTCTCTGAATTTCCTAATTAGCTCTAACATCCCTTTCCCCATCCCCGTCATCTTATTCAAATTCTTGACAGAGCTCTTCTGTAGTGTACTTCTGTCTGCTTTCCTAGAATCCTCTCTTTGTTCTTCAGCTCTACATGTCCATCTGCCTAAGAATAATCTTTTGAAAGAAAATCCTCAAACCTGTTCATGCTTAAAATCTTTTTCATTACCTATTATCTACAAAATGAAGCTTCCTGGCTATTTTATTCATTCATTCATTTAGTGAGCAGATATTTACTGAGAACCTTGTATGTGCCAGGTACCTAGCTGCACATTGGGGATTCATCAGTGAGCAAAACAAGCATGGCCCTATCTTCAGGAGCTCATGACTCCGCACTTGGACCGTTGCACCTTCTGTCTCTGCAGCTCCTAACTAGCTGTGATTCTTTCTGCCTTTATGCTTTGGATTTTCATACCTTCAGAATTGTGTGCTTGCCCAAACTTCCCTTCATCATTTATGTCTACCAGGAGAATTTCCAAGCCTCTTTAGAGACTTAGCTTAAATACAACTCATCCATCTCTCATCTCCCCCTCCATCCCATGATTCTCAGGAGTAACTGATTACTTCCTCTTCTGCTCTTTGATGAACACTGTGTATATATTTTCTATCACATTTATTACACTGTAATTGTCTGTCTATGTGTCTCACACCATATCCTGGATTTGTGAGCTGCTTGAAGTCAGAAACAGTAGCTTAGTCTTTTCTTTGTT